TTTTCTAATGCTAAAATAAGATCTACTTTTCAATCAGAGGAATATTTTATATCATATATAGATAATTTTTTCAAGTGTTATATAGAATGCTGTTGTGACATATTCACCTCAAAATCTGAGTGAGTTACTGATAAAAGAAATAGCTTCTGTAGGTTCATAGAAAATAGCAAATAAGAAGTTTGAGTCTGTTCCACTGGATGTGTGCTCCAGTAGAGCAAGGGTTTTTATCTGGTTTGTTCACTACCCAATCTCCAGTGCTAAACTGTGATGACACATAGTAGGTGCTCAATAAATATTGGATGAATGAAAGAAGTCCCCTTACCATTATACTGGAATAGCCTTTAAAGATAATTTTTCACTGAAGTTGTTACAGCAATTTGTTCACCAGGTTATTTGATTTAATTGCTTTTATTAATATTTAGAAGATACATATATTTATAAATTGTTGTCAGGCATAAAGAATTATCATACATTAACATCTATACACATGGTTAAGTTTTAGAAATAGCAAGTTACCATTACCTTCTATAGCCCTCATTTGCTGTTATCCAATCCCATCCCTCCCTCAGAGGTAGCAACCGCTATCCTGAATTTTATTGATGTTTTGTCGTCCCCTTATTTATTTCTCTATAGTTTTACCACATATCTGTGTGCACCTAATATATTGCTCAGTTTTGAATGTTTTTGAACTTTATATTAATGGAATCTTGCTGTGCTTTATTTTTCTGTACCTTTTTCTCATTTAAAATTATTACATTCCTGAGATTTATCTGTGATGTTGCGTGTGACTGTAATTTATTTTTACTTCTGTATAGTAACCATTACAGATATATTATTTATTTATTAATTCTATAGTTGATGGATGTTTGGGTTGCTTACAATTTCTTGATATTACAATTAGTGCAGCAGGGAACTTTCTAGTACATGTTTCTAGTACATTTTAGTACATGTCTAGTATATGTGTAAGTGGGGATATTTCTAGGATTGGAATTGGTGATCATAGCTATGCATATTTTTAATTGTACTTGATAAAACTAATTGTTTGTCAAAGTAGGTATGCCAGCTTACATTCTTACTACCAGCGTGTGAGAATTTCTGAGTTCCATATCCTTGGTAGCACTTGATACAATATGAAAACAATGAGAAATGCAAGGAAAACTTGATGAAAGTACAACTTGTGAAAGATTTTAGCATTTTTTTTCAGTAATAGAACTAATAGTTAAATAGTAGTGAACTGTAAAAGGATTGAATAATACAATCAATTAACTCAGTTTCTTATATTTTTACATTCTTTTACTTAACGTATGTTTCCTTTGTATAACTTAGGACATTTATGAAAATTTGGTCCTGTAGTTGGCCACAAAGGAAACCTTAAACTCAGGAAAGGAGAGATTTTATAGGCCATATTCTCTGATTCAAAAGGCAATCAAGTAGAAATAAGTAATAATAGAGTATTGAATATTAATTATTTGGAAATTATAAAGCATAATTATAATGGCTCTTGTAGCAAAGAGGAAATGAAAGGAAGCATTGAAAAGAACTCTTGTTTCAAAATCTATGGGATAAAGTGAAAGATTATTCAGAGTACTTTTATCATTAAAGAAGAAAGACTAAAACCAAGGAAATTTTGCACTGATCTTAAATTCATCCTGAGCATGGATTAAAGAAAAAAGAGAAAGGAAAATATGTAAGATTAGAAATAATATAGATCCAGAAAATTAAAACAATTACATGCAGCTCTGTGACATGTATATCTTATATAAGAGGATTTACTAATAAAATATAAATGATCAAAACTGCCCAAGAAGAAGAAAAATGTAATATACAAATAGACATATATGAAATTTAAAAGTTGGTAAATACAGCTTTTAAAAAATATCAGGATTAAATAGTTCTACAACTGAATTGCTAGCATTAAAAAAAAGAAGATAAGGAATTTTATTGTACATAAATTATGCCTCTGTTTTAAAAAAGGAAAGGCAAAGAAAAAGAATTCCAAATAATTCTGACATTGTTCCAGACAGTTCTGAAAGATGCAAGGCTTCTCAATCCATATGCACATAAATTTAATACTAACCTGATAAATACAAAAGCAAAAAAGCTGTGAACCAATCTCACTTATGAATATAGTTGAAAAAAAGTGTAAATGAAACGTTAGCAATGAAGTTTAACAAAATATCAAAGGAATAATCCGCTATAATGAAGTACAAATTCTTTTTTCAGGAATGCTATGACGTTTCCAATATCAAGAAAGTTAATACATAATTTATTATATCAACAAATTGAGGGGGAAAAGTGATCATAACCATAGATTATGAAATGGAAGTTGGTAAAATTCCATAACCATTCCAATAAAAATAAGCAAAACTAGAATGGGACTAGAAGGAAACTAAATATGACAAAGATTGTTTAGAATAACATTTGCTGTTGGATTTTAGTAAGCAGAAAAATATTGAAGCCATTTAATTGAAAACAGGAAAAATATAGGCTATCTATCCTACTGTAATCGCTATTATTCAGCTTTGTTTTGGAAGTTCTAGTGAATGCAGTTAAATACAACAAATGAAATAGTTGGTATAGACATGGAAAAGGAAGCGATAAAATGATCTGTTTTTCCCCAATAATACTGAATTATGTAGAAAATCCAAGAGATTAGTGGAAAAACCAAGATTAGCCAGGGTGGTGGGTTTGGGGGGAGGAGGGGTACATTGCTAGAAATAATATAATGAAAAAGAAGAGTGGCAGAGACTTTTCTTAACAGAAGACAAAGCATGCTGTAAAGCCACTCTTATCAAATCAGTGTTGTAGTGACTTAGAAATAGACAAATAGATCAGTGGACTAGAGTAGAAAGTTCAGAAATAGTTTGTAATATGTGCGTGCATGTGTGTGTGTGTGTGTGTGTGTGTGTGTGAAACAAAAGTGGTCTTTCATATCATTGAGAAAACAATAGTTTATTTAATCAGTGGTATTAAAGTAATTGGGTATTCAGATGGAAGAAAATAACAGCCTATTAAAAATCAAGCACAGATGGACTGAAATTTTTAAAATAATAAACTAATTTTTATTTATTTTTTTAACTGAACCATCCTGCGACCTGTTGGCGGCTCAACAGCAGCTCAGCTTGGGGCGGGAATCAAACCAGCGACCCTGTTTCTCAGAGCTCGCACTCTTGAGCGAGCTCTTAACCAACTGAGCCACTCGGCCAGCCCAACAAACTAATTTTTAAAGAAAGAAAACAGAAGAAAAATTTAGGAGACTATATGTATAACTTTTAGGGCCTGGAAAAACTTCCTTAACAGGAAAACCAGAAGTTTTCAAAAGAAAAGATACCTATATTTGCCTGTATAAATACTTAAAAATAAACAAAAAATTACCGTTATTTTTTTACATACATTTCTTTCTTTCTTTTTTAAATAGTTCACTTCTAATTTACAAAAATATTGTTTTTTTCCGCTACAGTTTGAGAAGCACCAATTTAGATTGTTTGTCTATCTCCTGTATTTCTGGGAAACTGGAAGATGGACCTAAACGTTAGATCAAGTTGGAACATTTTTGGCTAGGCTATGTCATAGATGGTATGTGCTTCATATTGCCTTATATTAGGAGACACATAGTATTTGTTTGTCCCATAATTAGTGATGCTCCCTTGACCACTGGATTAGCATGATGATCCTGCCACTGTAAAGCCCAAATCATCATGTCGGAGGCCAGTCAGTAGAGGCCCCTTCAGTCTGGTTTCTGGCAATGGAATTGCATTTCCAAGATACTAAGGGCATGGTTATCTTAAGCATTATGGTTATGATGGAGGAAAGCAGGTTTTGTTAAGGTTAGGGGAGGTGGCTGTGCTGTGGTGGAGAGTGTTCTTAGGCAGATGAGGGCTAAGGACAATGTGAAATGGGGCATCGGTCAGATTGCATGTGCGAGAGGAGTCCTCTGATGAACCTTTATTTCTCGTTCCCAAACAGTTCCCACAAAGAGACCTCCGGCAGCCACTTTGGGCTTGCTGAAGAAAACCACATAGCTACAATTAAATACAAAGGCTTCAAATTAAAATGGGGTTTGAGTTAACCAACTCAACTCATCCACACTAAAATATAACTAGGTAGTCAATGGAGCCTTTGTGACACGCCGTTCTTCCCAGGTTTGGTAAGGGGAAAATAACAATCAGCATAAGAGGGAGAGTACTAGGAGGGGAAAAGAGGAAGAAAAAAAGGTTGAGATGTTTAACAGGCAAACCAGAGACTTCACAGTGTCGCCTGGTGATCCTCATTTGGGGAAGGAAAAGCAATCTTGTTCAGCATTCTTTCTGAATTCACTGCTGGTATTTCTTTTCCACTTGGCATCATGTGTGAAGCATTTCTTTTAAAGCATATGCCAACTCTTTTCAAAGGGAGGCTTTGTTCTCAGATGAACCATTAATTGAGGTGTCACTGCAGAAATTGGGACAAAATTCAATTTATATTGTAGAAATCCTTAGTGTGGTTCATTTTTCAATCCCCGTTCTCCTCCCCTTGTGCCCCAAAACACACCCTTCATCTCACTGCCAGAGTGATTTCAGAAGATTCAGTAACAAGTTCTCAGAGGCCCATTGTGCAGTAACAAGGAATTCCGGCAGTGAGCGGCATGTTCCGTCCTTGCCTGTTTTCCTGAGTGGAAGGCTGCCCTCACCCCTCACTAATGGTAGAGAAGGACAAGCATAGGCCAGGCCTGCAAGCTTGCCAAGCGCTAGGAACCCAAGCAAGAACTCATCATGCCAATCAAACCTGTTGGGTGGATATGCGGGCAGGTGTTGAAGAATTTTTCTGGAAAAAGTATATACAATCTTCTTGTAAAGGGGATACGGGTGGGGGAAACTGGGAATCAAGTCCCCTAGGGTTTGCTTGCTTTTCCAGTCACCTAGGCAGTGGACCTAGTGTTTAATGTCCTTTTGAATTATGGTTATGGGATGTTTTCAGTTAAAGAACTTTTTTTTTCTAACTTCTTTTTTTCTTAGTTGAGGGAATCCAGAAAGCAATCATGGACCTTATAGATGAGTTTAAAGATGAATTCCCTACCATCGTAAGATTATCACAATCTAATCAGGTAATGCGATTTCATAACTCGGAAAAGGATTATTAAAAGTATTGGGTTGTCGGAAAAGTCATGATGCAATTTTGCAACGAAAAACAGAAAAAATACGTCATGACTTTTCTGACAACCCAGCATATTGTATTTTTAGTCTCATACCAATTATTTAATGCTTGATTTTGAGATCAGTGTTTGAAGCTTAGGAAAACTTTAATTCCGCCTCAGAAAAACAAAATCCAACTCTTACTCACTGGGAGAAATTGGGGATAAGGAAATAAGGTAGATAGATAAATTAAGTTGAAAGATAGTCACTTAGTTATTAGATTGGAAATCTAGAACTCTCTCATAGCCACAATTGCAATGTAGTTTACTTAGGAGTTGCTTAATGTAAAATCAGAAAAATGCCTAGATATACTTTAATTAAAATCTATGGCAATTAAATCTATGAAAAAAACATAACTGACATAAATGACAACAATGGAAAGATAAGTATTGTATGGGTGTGTGTTTTAATGTGGAAATAAAATAGTGATATAAATCTTAACAATGTATATAAGCGTATGTTTTAAATGTCTGTTCTAAAAAGGATTTGAGACATAAAATATTGGAAGAGGGGTTAGTTAAGTAGAGAGTTTTGAAGAGACATATGGTCAGGAAAAAGTAACATCTTATTTAGGGGGCACATGTAACCTAATTTACTCAAAAGTACACAGCTCTTAATGGAAAAATGTTGTTTCAGGCATTTTGACTATAGTTGGAATGGAATATGTTACATGGTACATACAGCAACAGTGTCCTTATCTAGATAACAGACTTTTGGCAATGTCAAACATGAGGAACCTGGAAATAAACAAAAAAGCACTCTGAGTAACATAGTAATCATAAAGTCTGTATATTTCATTCCAAAGAAGAGGTATTAGAGCTACCTTTTACTCTTTATCCAGACAACTAGGAATGAGATATTTACTAAATTCTTACTATAGCCTGAGACTGGGAAGGGGAATGCAGAGATAAACGTGATAGGATTCCTTTAATCAATGGGCTTAACCTCATGGAGACAGAGTTGTAAACAAGCAATTGCATTGAAATATGGTAAGATACATACCCAATTTAGAGGAATGAATGACTTTACTTGGAATGGTCAGAGAAGGCTTCATGGAGAAAGGAGGCTTAAATTGAATTTCAAAGGATGAATTGGCGTTTTCAAGATGAAGAAAGGGTTAATGTAAGTGGGTAGGAGAAGAGAAGTATATTCCAAAGGAAGCAGTGTCAGGCCAAAAAAGTATGCAACAGCATGTTCCCAGAATGGCATGTAAATCTGAATAAATGGCGTGGATCTTGAGTCTAGGCTTTGGGGAAGGGTGATACTGAAGTGTGGATCTCTGGATGCAGTGATAAGATGGCACCCAGATGGTGGTGTTTAAGCAGAATAGGATAAAGCTTAAAAGCTACAGAGAGCAAACTTGATTTTATAATTCTATATCTTAGACTTAGTGTCTAGTTGCTTCCCCTCTTTGCATGCCCCTGGTCTTGGTATATAAAGTCTATTGAAACATTGGAGACTTTTCTTGTCTGTGCTCTGGAGCATTAAGGAAGGAGATGGGCAGTTGACGTTGTTGGGTCTAGGACATGAAATGGCTAAGGCTGGCCCAGTAATGGCAGTGATCATTGAGGGAGTCTAGGAAGCCAGAGATAGGCCTCAAAAGCCTTGTTGCACCTTCTAGTTGTGATTCTCCCACCATTGCCAACATTAAAGAAATGGGTTTTATTTAATCAAAGAAATTGCAACTTTCTTTACATCTCCCTTCATCGCTTCCTACCTTTTGCGTGGCCCCATTATCACTAGAGCCATAGCATACTATCTGGTGAAACAGATTGATATTCTGATCCATAAAGAAAGAACTTTCAAATTCCTATTTCCAACTCCTTGAAATCATTTACTTAGAAGAAATGTACCCCATTCAGAGAAGAACATAAACATAGAAACATAGTTTCTCATTTTCAAAACACTGAACATGGCTCTTTTTCCACCATTTACTTTAGAGAAACCTGAGTAGGGGATATTGTAACACATTGAAGTCATTTGCTCTTCAAAAACAAATTATCCAGAAAACAATGCTAGCATGCCATTGCTAACTAGATTATTTTTGAAAGGTCAGATTATGAATGCTGCAAATTTTATTATTTCCATCACGGTTCCCACACATACTGAAAGGAATGGTTTTAAGAATACTTAGAGGGCTTTATTAACTGGGTTGTATTTTAAATCTCTAAATTTTGTAATTAGTATTTAAATCTATTTTTTTTAAATATTGTTTTAAGCATTTATTTAGGAAAAAGCCATCTTGCTGTCCTGAAGCAAAAAAAAAAAAAAAAAGAAATTTCAAGGGAGTGATGGTGGAAGTTTTATAGAGGAATCTACCCAGAGTGATGGTGATTACATAGTTCTTCATGGCTGAAGATTTTGAAGAAAAATTTTTTTTCTGGGGCTGGGGAAAATTAATTTTAGAATCTTGGCTTGAGGTTGTGGCTTCTGAGGTCCTGTACTCTCCACCCGCTCCCTCTTAACCAGCCCAGACCCCATCGCGTCAGCATCTATTTCCTTTAGTAAAAAAGTGAGCGTTTAAGGTTTACAGTAGCAATTGCAAATGATTTCCATATGAGGACTTAAAATAGTAAACCTTTAAGTTTGAACAAATGAAAAATGCATACTACAATTGGAGAATTAAAAACATTTTTAATTCAGATCATTTAATGGAATGAGAGAAATTTTGTGGTAAATAAGGGTCAGTTTTTGTGGGTTTTTGTTAGGAAAGGTGATTATGTGTTTTATTCTGTAATTACCTTACACTTAACTGTATTCTACAAAATTAGGAACTGTAGTCAGAACATACTAGAATCCATGCAAAATTTGGATTTATACATCTGTAGAAGTGCTTTTCTAAATTCTGTTTTTTGTTTGCTTGTTTGTGTGGTTTTTGTTTGTTTGTTTGTTTGTTTTTAAAGATTTTTATTGGGGAATTGGGGGAAGGGGAACAGACAAGTTGCTGTCATTTTTGTTCTTCAATCTAGTGGAGGATGTTGCCTCACTGGCCCAAGTTGGCACCATCATTGTGCTCTTCCCAAGCGAGGCACATCAGTCACCGGCTACTGGATGGCCACTCACTGCAGCTGCTGGCTGCTCACGCTGGCTGCTGGCTACACACGGTAGCCCATGGCAACCCACTGCCACAGGGGCTGCAGCCTACGCCGTCGCCGGCGACTCACGGCAGCCCAGCTCCAGGTTGAGCTGTTGTTCAGCATCTTAGCTGTGGAGGGCAGTGTCACTGGCCCTCAGATGTGGGATCCGAACCAGGGCCCTCTGGCGTTCCAAACCAGTTCTTAACCATCGCGCTACTCGGCCGGCCCCTGCTTGTTTGTGTTTTTAACATGTGGGACAAGAACTGCTGGGGATGCACCAATGTTGTCTGGAAATTACTTGTATTGGTGTTGGGGTTTCTAAATATGAGAGTAGGACTGTAACTAGAATGTTCTGTAATTCAACTATAGTTTTGTCTTTGGTGAGTTGTTTCATGTGGGCCACTATCATTGAGAAAGTTGCAGAGCACATTGTGTACTGAAAACTTTCTGGGTGGTTTATAATTTAATATTTGGTATATTTCTCTGATATTTCTCAATATTAGCTTGTTATATTTTTCTGATATTCCTCATTCATTCATTTTTGCACACATTCATAGGCCCTGGGGCAAAATGAGTAAGACAAATGGATATAAAACACTGTCATAGAACTTCTATCCTACTCAGGTAGAAAAACAATAAACAAAGAAAATAAACTACATATTATGTTAATGGCAGTTCTTAAGGAGAAGAAAATTATATAGCAGAGAAGGGATATAGAGAAGGGGTAGGGATAGGGAGAACAATTGATGGTTAAGGCCCGAGAGGGTCTTAGTGAGAAAGTAATTTTTTTTTTTAGTTTCAGGTGTACAAAACAATGTAATAGTTAGACATTTTTACCCCTCACAAAGTGATAAATGATAACCCCCCTTCCTCAGTCTACTACCCTTCTGACATTGTATATAGCTGTTACAGTTCCACTGACTCTATTCCTTATGCTGTATTCCACATCCTGTGACTATATATATATATATAATTATAGTTGACATTCATTATTATTCAGCTGCCTGACCACTGCAGTGTACACCGGAAGGGAAAGTCATTTTTGAATTAAGGCTTGAAGGAAGTGAGAGAGTAAATCTCAATATCCTTGAGAGACCGAATGGCATAGCTAGTGCAAAGTCCCTGAGGTGGGAGTATACCTAACAAGTTCACCAAAAAATGAGGAGGCAGAGGGAGAGGAAAAGACGAGGAGGCCGGGGAGGAGATAAAGAGACAAACTTTTAGGGCCTTGTAGATCATTGTATGTATTTGGCTTTTACACTGAGTGTACCAGGAAGCCACTGAAGAGGTGAACAGAAAAGCAAGATATGATCTGACATAAGTTTTAATTGTATCTGTATGGCTGATACGCTGAGGACAAGAATGAAAATAGGCAAGTGTGGAAGCAGGGAGACCATTGAGGAGGCTAATTTACTAGTCAGGAGAAGAGATGATAGTGGTATATAAATATGACGGAGTGAGTGTTGGTACTGGAACAGTGAGAAGTGGTCGTATTTGAGAAATATTCAGAGAAAGAATTGAATAAGATTTGCTGACAGGCTGGTTTTATACATATAGAATGTAAAAAGCTGATGTAGTAGAAATTGGAGGTCAGCATTAAAACTGCTGATGATGAAGAAATGGGCATGGCTCTAGAAATAAAAAAATTAAAAGGGAAAAAAGGATATATATTCAAAAAATGGAGCTCAAATAGAGAAATCTGGAGCAGAATTCTTGAACCAATCTGATTAATGGATGCTAAGTTTCTTTTGGTAAATAGTCTTTAAGTACCTTTGTGTGTCTCTGGTGTTAGCAGTGGCTGGGAGTTGGAATTCCTTTTCTGATGTATGTTGATGTGCCCAGATGATGATGATGACAAAATTATCTAAACTTGTACATTTTGCGACCAATTTGAGGATGTGTAGGCCAAGAGTGAAAAAAAAAATTGAGGGAAAAGAAATGAAGGCTTCTTAATTTGGGGTCAACATTGAATTTTATACACATGGTTTGGTAAGAAAATATATAGCATAGCTAATAAACAAAAAGGAAAAGCTGTTACCTCAAAAAAGGGGGAGGTATTTAAAAATATTTTTCTACTGGAGCTAATTAAAAGGTAACTAACTGAACTTGTCGTTATAAACTGGGGACTTTTTTTTGTTTTTTAAAGAAGAATGTCTGAGTCTGCATCTGAAAGAATGTAAGTAGCCTGTTCTCTGTTGTCATTTTCATATTCCCAGAAACATGTAGGACCACTGAACATGCATCCCAGTGCCCACAGTTGGTTTCTAACACTATTCTTCTTAAAAGAAATAGTGGTCTTCTTGGGAACAAGTTGATTCCATGTTTTGAGGCAGGGAAAATAAAGGTGGTCAGAAATATTTTGTGGTCAGAAGTAATAATTGTTTCAGAGGTACCTAGGAAAGTATCAAAAAAGGAAAGCATTTAAAAAACCTTGAAGGAATGGATAGTCTGTCAAATTGTAACCATTTGAACATTAAAGGAAACAAAGATGATATTAATTAGGAACAGATTAAGTGTGTTGGAAAAAGCCATGAATTCATGATGAGACTAAAGTGAGAAAGATAACACAAAGTGTGCTAAAGCATTATTGTAAGGCACTCTTGAATTTTTAAAAATATTGTTTATAATCAACACCAAATTTTGCTTAACACAAATTATGTGAACCCTACAGGAGAGTTTTGATGAACAGATTAATAAACTTCTTTTTCTGCGGAGATAAAAATTTAGAAAGACAATTTTGTAAAAGAGGAGGAAGTTGAATGAATCGATCTAATATAGTGTTTTGGGGGAATTAATAAAGATTTGCTAATAGAAATACATGTGTCAAGTCAGTGAATCCAGGCCAGCATGTACGAAGCACCAAGATTTTGTAAAGAAACTTATAAAATAAGGAGAGGGAAATTTCAAAATGTTAATGTTTTGCAACTGCACGAATGAAAGGTCCCCTAGAACACTGAATGGCCACGTACACGAGGTTTCAGTAAAGGTGGGACAGCACATATTCCTTTCCTGTTTGCCCTGGCAATATGGCCTTCACCTTGTGATTATAAATTATAATGAGAGAAAGCACAGTAAATTATAATCAGAAGTAAAACCAAACTTATTCTAGCTGCTCCACCTGGAGGAGGAGTTGGGAGGAAGTGTTGGTGCGATGTGAAGGACATGGGGGAGGGAAACGCCTTCCTCTCCCCTTCCTGAGCCCTTACAGCTGGACTAATAAAATTGGCACAAGACCAGATTAACAGGAGAAAAACCAATTGAATGTGTGCACACAGATCATAAATGATACTCAGAGAAATGATCAAAGCAGGCAGCTTTTTATACCTTTTAGACAAAGAAACAATACATTTGTGAAGAGTTAACAAGATAAAAACTTAGATTTGGGTGCTTATTCATGAGGAATCGAGGCAAAGTTCTAGCTTGGGTAGTAAATTAGTAAAAAAAACAAAAAAACAACAACAAGGTTTGTTTGTACACAATTCTCAGCCCTGAATTCCCTAACTCTGGTGACAAGGACGTCTCTCTTTCATCAGACTGCAGGTGCAGGGAAAGCACCTTTCACATAGGAGATTTGTCTTCTGCTTTCCAGGGGACAAAGGGAGCGGTCAGAGTTCTTGCACTGGCAGTTTCTTAAGTCACTTGAATTCAAAATAATTAGTATGCCGTTGTGGGATATTTAGGGCTGGCCTGCCCTGGGCCCTGACAGCAAAGCATAAGGTCACAAGAGAAACTGAATCTGTATGTGCAGGAGCTTTGGATACTGCAGACAACGTGGTTTCTCTCCCCTGTATGCTCACCACCAAGGTAGGAATAATATCAAGTGACTACACCTCATGGTATTTTGTTTGCTCTGCCTGCCACATAACTGATTGTGAGGGTTGCTCTGATCTAAAGTGGCTTGGCCTTACAGCCAGTGTAGCAGCTCACAGTTGAGATTGCATCCTCTACTGTTCATATGGACTAGGAGAGTTAGGACCACAGGGGTTCTAATGGGACTTTTCCAGTAAAGTTAACAGATGAAACCACAGCAGGACTCCAGGTGCTGCAGAAATGCATCCTCATTGACAGGCTAGAACAACTGTTGTTTATCTCCAGTGGCAAATGCTGAACAGTAAGAGGACTGAACTTTGGTGACGAAAATAACAATAATACAATTATTCCTTCAGGATAAAAGTTGAGGCATTTTAAATGAATATACAGCATGTTAGCTCTTAGACAAATATATGGTGATATTCATTATAGATAAAAAAATCCATCTGAAAGATGTTTTATACTTTAACGTTTTGATGTAATAAATTGATATTCAAAGTTGCTTATCCTAAAAAGCCAGAAAAGCCCATAACAGTACTTAAATGAATAATGGAAACTATACTTGTCTGTTGCCTGGAATGCAGTCTAACCACATTGCAAGTAATTTCTCTGTGGTTCTGTTTCTGGTAGAGCAGAGAAAGAGCTGCACTGTATGTGTTTGGGTAATGCCACAGATTTTCTTCTATCAGAATGCTCATAGAAGTTTTGAAGTGTTTAGAAGTAAACGTTCCCGAAGCTTGTTGATTAGTATATAGGGTACTTGTTTTATTTTTCTTTAAATTGTAGAGTGCATCATGTATGTATGCTATATTTTATCATTTAAAAAATTATAAAGTAAACTGAGAAAATATTTGTAAGTTTTGAGTAAGAATTATTGATTGAATAATTCAATCACTGAATAATATTTGAATAGGAATTATTTTTGAAACTGTTCTTTAAAAAAAAAAGCAATGCAAAAAGTAAATCAACCTAGAAATAAAAATGAAAAATTTATATCTTTAGGCTAGTAACTAAATTCTAGATATTTATCCTAAGGAAAAATGCATACATTTATATAAAGATTTAAGTTGTATAAAGGGTGGGGATATAGTTATTGGATACAGTATATGCATAGGACCATGCAGAGTATACAGTTATGTAGTACTCAGCCTCGGCCTGACATAGATTTTAATAATTCACTGGAGAATCACACATCAGTTACTTTTCAAAGGCTTATTTTCTAGAAAAGAGAATCCATGCAAAAAACATCCAAAATCAGAATGGCTGTCGCTTTAGCCAGGATCAACCGAGGAACATTGATTCAAGGACTAAACAGCATATCCACGTCCTCCAAATCAGTGGCCAAACTTCTACAACCTCAGCTTGTTTGTAGGCTCCTAGAATTAAGGGACGTATCTCACCATCTGCTGAGGGAAGTGAATGCACCAAGGCAACCCCTCTATAACACGCAGGTAAGTCGACGTGGCGTTTACACAAGATAAGGACTCTTTTTATAGAAACTGTTTTGAAATTACAAGATTTAAAAATGAAAAATGTAGCATATTTGGTTGTTCTACCTGTAAAACAAGAATAGTTGGATAAGAAAAATGAATTGTTGGGCCTTTTTTCAATATAATATATTCGTTGGTTTAAACAAATATGAAACAGGAAGTAATGTAGACTTGTTTCTACCTTGTTATTTGATTGAGCTAGATGAAACTGTCAATTTCAGATGGTTCAACCTAAATATAAGCATACAAATTACCACTTATGTCAAACCTAAAATCCTACAATGGAGCTTGAAAATGATTGTTTTGTTCCCTTTTCCCTATAACCTATGTTTTCCAAGATAATCCTTGATTGACATAACATATTGAGTATATTTAACTATAAACTCACTTTAAGAGACCCATCAACATCCAGGTATATTTCAAATTACATGTTCTACATCATTTCATTGAGACTCTTTTAAAGGATAACAGCTGTTACAATTTTTTCAGGACCAATTTTTTTTTTTTCCCCTGAACTTTATGTCACAGAACTCTGTTTTTTTTTTCAACCTGGACACTATTCAAAACATTCTAAATGTTTCAAAAATTAAGAATCTTACAAGTCTGGAATCTAAACCCCAGAGTTTAATCAGTTTTAACTCTTTTGTTAAAGGGAGAGGAAACCTGGCTCAAACTGAGTTAAGCAAAAAAGATGTATTAATAAGTTCATGTAATTGAACAATACGGAATTGATAAGGTTTCAGGCATAGCTGGATACAGGTACTCAAGTGAGGCTTTCAGGATCCTGTTTCTCTGTTTCTCTCCATCTCCTGGCTCTGCTTTCTCTGTGTTGACTCCATTCTCAGACTGACTTTTCTCTCATGGTCACAAGATGAATTGCAGCTCTTCCAGGGCTTCGTCCTTCCAGGTTCAAGTACAGCAGAAAAGAGAGTGCTTGACCCAGCGTTCCTGGCCAGGTCCTGAGGTTTACTCTTAGAGAATGGCTGGCCTCTAAACCAGGGAAATGGGATGCACTGATTGACCTAGGACTCAATTACCTGCTTCATCCCTAGAGGAGAGGTTGGAGCCCCATCCAGACCACATGACCTGAGAATGGGGAAAGGATGAATCCTTAAACAAAAATCTGGGTTGTTTTGAGAAGATGAGAAAATGGATGATAGATGGCTAAATCAACCGAATATTCATTACACAGGAATCTCTCTCTAACCAAAGAGTTTAACATTTCCAGAAATCTTCAGATATTTCAACAATGAACTGTCTGAGACAGCATTTGTAAAAGGCACTGTCATAATATCTGATGTTTGAGAAAGTAAAAAAAATGTGTTTTGTTTTTTAAGTACTGGATTCTCTAAGCACCAAAAGCCTTCTTTCTTTATCTTTAGATCATCAAAAAGTAACATAGCTGAACCACATCATCTTAAATTCCCACTGAAATATCTTTCTGAATCTAATGTTTTGCCTGGATGTTTCTTTCCTTGTATTGTTTTTACAAAGGATTGACATAAGAAGTATCCTTTAAGACTATTTCTGTATTTAATATGAAATCATGTTTAAAGACACTGTCCATTATATTATTTAGAGTTTTTTTTTTTTTGCTCCTCTTTGCTAAATCAGAACTGTGAAGGATCTGAGATTTTACACTATTTACAAGCTAACAAGTTAGCTTACTGTGGTTACACACACACACACACACACACACACACACACACACACACACACACACAGTGTGACACAAGACCCTAAAGGCAGTGACACAGGTTGTTGAATCACAGCCAAAGCAGCAAACCAGAGCAGTCAGTATCTTGTGTCAGTTCCCTACACCTCGGTTCCCATGGGGCAGTGTGATGAGAGCCAGATGTCACCTGTACATGTTCCTAGTAAGTTGCATCACAGGAGAGGACCCCTAAAATTGGGAGATTCAGCGTTTTATGTGGATGCTGGCTTGTCTGTCGAGCCTCCGGGTGGTGGGCAGGGGTGGAGAGAAGCGAATATGTCTCTGGAGGGTAAGAATAGGGCTTTATTTTTCGTGCTGTGACACGTTTTGGGAGGTATATCTCTAAATCTCTCTAGAGGAAAATACTTAAAGCTGTTTGCTATTCAACCGTGTCCTTGGCTCAGAACATCCAATCTGTACAGGAATGAGATACATCCATGGAGAATTGTCTTCCAATACTCATGAACATTCAGTGGCCGGAAAATTTATTTCCAGTTGAATTTGTGTTTCCTTTTATCCAATCATGAGAACAAAAAACACAATGTGTTTGCCTTTTTTGCCTTGACCAACACTGAGTTTGACAGGTACATTTAGGGCTTAGTTGGGATAAATTATTCCAGGAACTCGAGATGAGAGAAACAGCTTGAAGGATTAAATGACTTATCCATATGCTGACTGTGACTGTCTCTTTTGACATCAGTTCAAGATCAACACCTGTGAAATCTCTTCTCCTTTCCTCTTGTTCTAATTGTCTTAGTACATAGCTTTACTTTTCCAAAATTCTTATCAGTAAAGTATTTAAAATATGTAAAAGGTAGTTTACCAGAAGTCCCACCCAAATTTATACTGGTAGGAATATTTTGCGATATTGCCTCCAGATACCTCCTTTATAAAAAGAAATATAATTAACCATGCTTCAATTCTGTCCCCTTTTTCTTCTCCACCAAAGGTGGTAATCGTTATCTTAAAGTCGATGTGAGCATTTCCATGCATGTTTATATTTTCATTACATTTTTATACAGCTATCATTCTATGTATATTTATGTTTTTATTTTATTTTATTTTTTAAAGATTTTATTGGGGAATTGGGGAAGGGGACCAGCCAAGTTGTTGTTCTTCAGTCTTCGTTGTGGAGGGCGCCAGTCGCCATCTGGCTTCCCATTGGCAGCTCGTGGCCTCTAAGCTCAAGGTGCTGTGTTCCGTCTTAGTTGGGGGTGGGCGTAGCCACCATCCCATGCGGGAGTTGAACCAGCAGCCTTGTTGTTAAGAGCACACGCTCCTCCACTGAGTCATCTGGGTGGCAGCTTAGCTCAAGGTGTTGAGTTCAGTCTTAATTGTGGGTGGGCATAACCACCATCCCATGTAGGAGTCAAACCCGGCAGCCTTGTTAAGAGCACATGCTCTATCCACTGAGCCATCTGGGCGGCAGCTCAGCTCGAGGTGCCAAGTTCAGTCTTAGTTGCAGGTGGGCAATCGAACAGGCAATCTTGTTGTTACACCAGCTGAGCCATCCTGCCACCTTTTGGCAGCTCAGCGACAGCTCAGCTCGGGCGCAGTGTCACTGGCCCATGTGGGAATTGAACTGGTGGCCCTGTTGCTCAGAGCTCAAGCTCTTAAGCCAACTCTTAACCAATTGAGCCACTTGGCCGGCCCCATTCTATGTATATTTAAAAATTTATATAAAAGGTATGCTATACTTATCCTTCTGAAACTCCCTTTTTTCACTTAACATTTTTGATATATGCAGCTATGATTTATTATTTTAGCTTCTTTGTGGTATTCTATTTTAAGAAAAAATAATCCACAGTTTATCTCTTACTGGACAGATGGGCAATTCAGTTTCCAATTCTTTTGTGTTACAAACAGTGCTTCCGTGCTTCGTTCTTGTAAATGACTCCATATCCATATGTGTGAGACATTCTCCAGGCATATATCTGAAAGAGGAATTGCTGGGTCATGAGGGATGCACATCTTCAATTTTATTATCTGTTGTCAAATGCTTTTCAGAATAGGTACACTTGGGAATCATTGTGACTCTTAAATCTGAGGATAATTTCTTCGATTCTGGAAAATTCTTAGCCATTATTTCTTCAAATATTACCTCTTTCTCATTTTCTCTAATCTCTTCTTCTGGAATGCCTATTAAACATACTTAGGACCTTCTCATTTTGTTCTTTGTCTATCTACCTTCCTCATATTTTCATTTTTTTATCTCTTTTTGATGCATTTTGAATAATTTCCTCTGAGCTCTCTTCCAGTTAACCAGTTCTCTCCAGCTGTATCTAATATGCTCTATTAGTTATTCAATGTGTTTTTTTGTGATTTTTTTGTGATTTTTTGGTGATTTTTGTGATTTTTTTGTGATTTTTGATAAAAATCATTTTTATCATTTCTAGAAGTTCTATTTGGTGTCCCCCCTCACCCCCAATTTCTAATTTTTTCTCTTCAAAGTATCTTTTACGGGTTATATCTTTTTAAAAAAAATCTCTTTAATTATGTTAAATATACTTATTTGTGGTCTTTTTAAACATTATTCTTTGAGATATTTGGAGGATGCTAATCTTTCTGATTACGGTGATCTATATCGTGTCTCACTCATAGTAGATCATTTCCTTTGGAGTTTATTTTTCATTTAACTGAAAGTTTTTGTTCAACAGGGATTTTTCAAAAATAGAAATCCCTTCTGGCAGTAGAACTTTCCTTGTGGAAGATTTTGCTAGTGCTCCAGGGTATCAGTCACGGGTGAAGACCAGCGTCCTTACCTGCTTCCAGGAATGCTGGGAACAGTTGCCCTAGTCCCCTTTCACTGAGACTATGCACAGGCTTAATCCTCGCCTCATGTGCATCTAAATCTCATCTCCAATCTATTAAAACTCAAGCCCCCAGACACTATTCCACTTACATGCTCACTGCCCTGGCTTTTAGTTCCCTCTGTTTCTGGCTCAGGGGGATCTCTCCTTCTCTCTCTCTTTCTCTCTCTCAACTCAGTTTTATATTAACTTTTTCGAGTATGATTTTATATAGAATTTGGAGGTTTTTCTGTATGAAGAGTTCCCCGTTGGCTCCGTCAGCCATGTTGCTAGAACCAGATGTCCTTCAGCTATCCTTCTTAATATCTTTTACACATTTTAATATAAAATGGTTGAATTCCTTTTTGGAAGTAAGTAAAGTATAATTCTACTTTTTCATTCAGTCAGCAAATATCTATTGAACACACGATGTGTAAAAATCACATCAGGTACCTAGT